TTTGAAAACACATCAGATCTCAATGGGAAAAATTATCATGCTAGATATCTATACTGATATGGACTGGGTAATGTGTTAGGAACGTGACGATGCCCTATCGTTTGATGGAAATGCAAATTATCAACCTACAGAGGACTGAATTCAAAGACACCCCGAAAATAAAATGAAAAAATGATGCAGCAAACTAGTCCATTTTGCTGAAATTTCATTGCAGCAACTCAAAATGGTACTCATTAGTTTGTATGGCCCCCACATGTTTGTATGCATGCCAGAAAATATCGGGGCATGCTCCTAATGCGACGAAGGATGGTGTCCTGGGGTATTTCCTCCCAGATCTGGACTAGGGCATCAGGGAGCTCCTAGACAGTCTGAGGTGCAAACTGGCAGCGTTGGATAGACCGAAACATGATATCCCAGAGGTGTTCTATTGGATTTAGGTCAGGCGAGCGTGGAGACCATTCAATGGAATCAATTCCTTCATATTCTAGGAACTGCCTGCATACTCTCGCCACATGAAGCCGGGCATTGTCGTGCACCAGGAGGAACCCAGGACCCACTGCACCAGCGTAGGGTCTGACAATGGGTCCAAGAATTTCATCCCAATGCCTAATGGCAGTCAGGGTGCCATTGTCTAGCCTGTAGAGGTCTGTGCGTCCCTCCATGGATATGCCTCCCTAGACCATCACTGACCCACCACCAAAACGGTCATGCTGAATGATGTAACAGGCAGCATAACGTTCTCCATGGCTTTTCCAGACCCTTCCACATCTGACGCGTGCTCAGGGTGAACCTGCTCTCATCTGTGAAAAGCACAGGGCGCCAGTAGTGGACCTGCCAATTCTGGTGTTCAATGGCAAATGCCAATCGAGCTCTATAGTGCCAGGTAGTGAGCACAGGGCCCACTAGAGGATGTCGAGCCCTCAGGCCACCCTCATGAAATCTGTTTCTGATTGCTTGGTCAGAGACATTCACACCAGTGTCCTGCTGGAGGTTATTTTGTAGGGCTCTGCCAGTGCTCATCCTGTTCCTCCTTGCACAAAGGAGCATATATTGGTCCTGCTGATGGGTTAGGTACCTTCTAAGACCCTGTCCAGCTCTCCTAAAGTAACTGCCTGCCTGTCTCCTGGAATCTCCTCCATTCTCTTGAGACTATGCTGGGAGACACCGCAAACCTCATGAAGTCTGTTTCTGATTGTTTGGTCAGAGACATTCACACCAGTGGCCTGCTGGAGGTCATTTTGTAGGGCTCTAGCAGCGCTCATACTGTTCCTCCTTGCGCAAAGGAGCAGATACCAGTCCTGCTGATGGGTTAAGGACCTTCTACGACCCTGTCCAGCTCTCCTAGGGTAACTGTCTGTCTCTTGGAATCCCCTCATTGCTCTTGAGACTGTGCTGGGAGACACAGCAAACCTTCTGACAATGGCACAAATTGAGGTGCCATCCTGGAGGAGTTGGCCTGCCTGTGCAACCTCTGTAGGGTCCAGGTATTGCCTCATGCTACCTGTACTGACACTAACCATAGCCAAATGCAAAACTAGTGAAAAACAGTCAGAAAAAAGGAGTAGGGGAAAAAATGTCAGTGGCCTCCACCTGTAAAACCATTCCTGTTTTTGGGGTTGTCTCATTGTTGTCCATCTAGTGCACCTGTTGTTAATTTAATTAACACCAAAAGCAGCTGAAACTGATTAACAACCCCCTCTGCTACTTAACTAATCAGATCAATATCCCAGGAGTTTAATTGACTTGATGCTATACTCTGATTAAAAAGTGTTCCTTTAATTTTTTTGGAGCAGTGTATATTTACCTAGAAAAATGGTGACATGTTCAATACTTATTTTTCCCGCTGTATATCAACCCACCTATCAGTGCAAGCTCTTAGAAAAAAACACTGTATACATAATGATAATTGACACTATATCCTAATAAAGTTTAAATAACACATAAAAGAACAGACCTCTAACACAACTGGTTATGAACAATTATGGTTACATCTAACTGGTATGGATGTTTAGTACCCCCACCAAATTTCTGACTCATAAGAGAAAAGCTACAAACCAATGTCAATGCAACCTATAGCTTCTTTTTATTCTGTTATATATTAAGATTTCTGTTAGTTTTTAAAACAAGTGATAGCTTAAAATGTTACATATCTAAATTAAAATCATAGTTTTCATAAATTGGCATGAATTTGTGCAAATTGAAGGTCGCAATCCACAGGTCTGGCTTGAATGCAAAGGCTTTTAGGCAGCTAAACCTTTATCAGAAACACACGAATAGTGAATCTATGATCTGGACATTTAGTGCCAAATAGAACAGAAATTACAATGGTTACATGCAAATCATGTACACTCATTTCTCCAGACTTTCTATACCTTTGGTTCAATACCAAAGTACATAATGACCTAGGGGGAGTTTTCCATACCAAATACAAGTTAGGTAATTTGCTGGATTATTTATCTATATACATTCCTTTATAAATGTATGCCTTTATCGTCTTCTTCGCACAACCAGGCTGGCTAAACTTATCATGCATATGATTTAAATGCTCAAGATCTGCCCATCTGTTATCAAAAAAAATTCTGCAGTCCACTATTACCACAAGTAACCATATATGTTGGTGCAATTAGTTGCAGAAAGCCGTTTAATGCCAGAACTAGAGTGTTTTGTGACTTTTCAAGATGACATTTAGTTTCACCTTTTTAAAAAAGGTGAATATTGCAATTCTAACAAAATTATGCCACTTTTGTAGTGTTTGGCATAGGTGTTACCATGTCAATAATTGTTTCAACAATAATTGTTCACAAAATGAAAAAAGCACCATTTAAAAAAAATGCCACTTTCTGATATGCCAAGTTCATGTTGGACAGTTTTTTCTGTACATCATTTATTCGGAGAAGTGGAACACTTTAAAGAACCAGACCATGAGGTTGATTTACTAAAAATGAAGAGTACAAAATCTGGTGCAGCTGTGCATGGTAACCAATCAGCTTCTAATTTCAGTTTGATCATTGACAAAAAAAAAAACAAACACCCGGAACCTGATTAGTTTCGATATAGAGCTGCATCAGATTTTATACCATGCAGTTTTAGTAAATCAACCCCCATGTTTAATGCTGTTTTAGTAACTTACCATGGTGCTGATTTGGGATTTTCTTCAAGAAACAAGAACACTTAAATCAAGTGGAATCAAAGCCACCAGCAATATTCATCATAACTGTTCTAATTTCATTCTTAGGTTCAACCTCACATAAATGTATTTGTTAAAGAGGTAGTAAGGTTGTATTTTTCACTTTTACCTACAGGTAAGCCTATAATAAGGCTTGCCTGTAGGTACTGCAACTATCTCCTAAACGTGCACTGTTCAGAAGCTATCTACTTGTAAAAGGAACACCGACGCATGTGCTCTGAAGGAATGGCATGCCTTTGCCATTCCTTCGGAGCTGTGAGCTGTAAAAAGTTACTCCGGTGCGCATGCGCGGAATTGAAGTCATTGTGACTCGGCCATTCAAGCTGCCAGAGCCTGCGAACCTGGAAGAAGGACCCGGTGAAGATGGGAGCCCTGGCAGCAGTGACAGCTTGCTGCAGGAGGGCTTTGTTTTAGGTAGGTTTCACATAATGTGCGATGCATACTAGCACATTATGCCATTGTCTTGAAGGATTTGTTTTTTTAAAGGTCATGGATTACTACCGATTTAAGAAAATATAACTATTTATAAAGTCTTTTTTAAAAAACAGAAACAGTTGCCTTGAATGAATTTTTGCTGCTCCAACAGTTGACAAATGAGCACCATAGACTAATTCTTTGCTTTGCACCATCTAGGGGTTCAGCTGCATAGAGGATTCAATAAAGGAGGCAGCTCAGCTAAAGGCTCAGCTTAAAGGGTAACTCAACTTTCGTAGAAAAACTATATAAAAAAAATATAATATTTACATATATACAGTATATGGCCAGGTTTTAATCTAACGTTATTAAAAATTACTTTTCCCTTTCAATCTGCTGTGCTGCAATTTTATGCAAAATTAAATACAATATGGCAACCTGGAGACACTCTGTACACAGTTGATAGTACAGAACACCTCAAAAAATGAAGTTTAAGCCCTGACTGAACTCAGACAGCGTAATTCAGCAAAAATCTACTGGACAGTACATAAGTGATTTATAGATATTACATGTTCACAGAAGCAGGTTCTAAATTCAAAAATAATGTAAAGAAAGTTACCCAACTTCATCTCAGAACAGTTTCCTGTTTGCAAGTTTTGATATTTTTACAATATGACATTTAGAAACTGCTTTAGGCCCGGTTCACACTGATGAGCCATACATAATGATGGGCTCTTTTCGCAACACACAGAATGGCAAGTAATTATGCACAGGAATGTGGTGTGATTCCTGTGTGATTCACATGCGATGTGACAGTGTGAACTGGGGCTTATAAGACAAAACAAAGGCTATCATCTTTGAACCATGACAGATCAGATCAGCACTGTAAATGCTTGAACAAAGCAGGAGTTTTACATTAAAGTTTATGTCAATCCAAAAACTTTTTTTTGTTTGTTTTGAGAGTGGGGTTGAATTGGAAACCTCTGTCTATTTTTACTGTTATTCTCTACTCCAACCAACTAAAGTAAAAAAATTGGTTAAAATTGAGCTCTGTCTAAATACCAAAACAAAGTTGCAACATCTTCATTCACAAATACCCATTCAATAGATAGAGTTTAGAATCAGAAATTAACATAGTAATACTTACACAGCCTTACATTCTGAATGTTTTGTATATTGCCATTAAAATTTACAGTAACATAGGGCTGTCAAAAGATTGACAACTAAAAATGGAGTAGTGTTTTTAGGCCTAGGCCTAGGTAATGGAGGGATGGAAATTCTATAGAAAGCCAGGTAATAAGAGACTGGATTTTGAAGGATTTGCACATGTATTTTAAAGCATTTTTCTAAATCTCTTCTAAGTCACATATAAGTATAAGTTGTATGCAGTATGCTTTACCTGTGCAAAATATAACTTTAACTTCTTTCCATTGAAGTCAGATTCATGCAACTCAATTCTCGCTCTAGCTGCAGCTTCTGGATTGCTGAAATTTATTCTAACTCTTCTAAAGCTTTTGAACAGCTGAAAGGAGACCTGATGGTCATAGATAGTGAAGAGAGCTTTGAATCTTTCCTGTAAGGAAACAAAGAAACTGGGAATTAAATTACTTTCTTTAAAAAAGCAATGTAAAATAACCTCTAGTCTGGCATGTCCTTTCTTTGCAAAGGCTATGGAGCGAGTATTCAGTCTATGACACCCTAGAGGGATATTAACAAAGGTTTATGCACCAATGTAATGACGGAGGAAACTAGCATCTGTGGTGCGGGCCACATTAAGTAACCAGAAAGACCTATTTCAGGTATCTTTGCCCCACCCAGGCCAGTTTTTTTTTTTTTGGAGTATAACAAAAATTGGCGCAGAGCCCTTTCTTATGTAACAAATGGATTGCAGCAGTTTTTAGTATATAAGTCAGAAATATGTGAACTGTCTGCAGACAGCTCACACTCCTCTCTCTACTCGAGCAGTCAACCCTCCTCCTGCCTCCCGCACTCAGCTTAGCAAGGAGGTGGGAGGAAGGAGGGAATGTAGAGGAGGGGGGTTTGGAGCATGCAGTTCTAGGCAAACTGATCTGTGCTGTGTCTGTAACAGACAAAGCATAGAACAGGGAGCAGATTGCTGGACTTGCACCCGAAAAGAAAGATCTGCTCCATTTTCTCAGTTTAGAATAGTGGTACAGACATACAGTATGTGCTACTATTGGTTAATAAAAAGCGGACAGAAAGCATGTCAAGGGAATTGATTGACTGATTTTTAGACCTATGTTCAGAAGAAGAAATGGTCATATTCTGGAATAAATATTTTGTGTTTCCTGATGTATCACCCACAGATTATGTGGACCTCATTAACGGTAACCTACACGAAAAGCACAATAAGTATATAAGGTATATGTTATGCAAGATGAAGTGTGAGAATAATTGCAAATGTTAAAAGTCTGCTATAGCTGTGCCACTCTCTCAAATGTATTCACAGATCATGAGATTACATTACAGTCATCCCCAGCAATGTTCTTAGGTATACTGCACAGGAGCTTCAGCTTTGTTGATAAACTATAGATCTAAATAACTGAAAGCAATCTTATTATCACAGTTACGCTCTAGAATTCCATAGTGCCACCACGTTACAAATGTCGGTGCGCATGACAGATTCATGTACTTGTAAATAAGTATATGAATCTGGGACAAGCACTGAGTGGGGAGGTGCATTGATGCCGGAATGTCTATACAGAAACTCTGATCTCAATACAGCTGTACTCTCAGTCTGCTGCAACTTTTACACAGACAGTGCATTGGCGTGAAGTTTTGCATCTGGGTGAGTGGGGCCTGATGAATTTTAGCAGACACTAGTTTCCCATTCAGATCTGGTCCCTTTGTAACAGCAAGAAGTGAACAGATCCTTAGCCAATAGACTGCCTGCTAGTGGCTATAGAATCTGCCCACTGCCTGCTGTCAATCACAAAAACAGAGCAGACTTCATGGGGAACAAGTGTCTCAGCTTCCCTATCAGACTTTGCCCACTGCAGTAACATTGGCTATTGGAAGCTGTAAAGCCTTACCAACTAGTGACAGGGGGGTAGGGGTGGCACATGTGTCACTCTTTTACACTGCTAAGGAACAGCCAATCTTCTCTCTGTATGCCAACCTACAGTTGGTGTTAATTACCTCCATATATCTACAAGCATAATTATTTTGGACTTTGGTGCATTAATAGTGCAGTTTGGGAAAAGTGGCACGATTAAGAACTACCCAAATCTACCACAAGTCAACAAAGTTACCAAAGCGGGCAGCAGGAATTTTTTAAACTGGTGAAAACCATTTTTAAAGGACCGCAGCATCAGAAAAGTGTTGGTGAGGATTTTTTAATTCCCCCGGGAATGCTCCGCTTAGCACTTACAGATTATGGAAGTGTACCTATAGCCTATGTTAAAATGTGCACGACAGACAAAGCTGACCTATAGCAAACCTAGTAGGGATCTTTTTTTTTAACAAAACTAGAGTTTTACTTTAGAATGTTTTCAACTTTACTTTTAATGTACAAAACGTCTGATTAGTTTTACTGTACATTTAAAACATGACAAATAGGTCCTGCATACCTTCTGCTCATCTACCTCAAAGACAGACTCATGAACACTACATGCAAACAGAGATGTTGGAAGGTCACTAAAATCCATTAGTTCTTCAAGATCATCATCATTTTCTCCAAAGATCATCTCTTCTTCCTCCTCTTCTTGGTCACTGCTGTATATATCTGAACTTTCATTCCACGTTTTCATGGTGTCTCTCAGCATCGTTACTGATTGCTAACTCCTTAGATTCTCTTTGCGGTCAAACAAATCTGTAAAACATTACCAAACTAATACAAATTACTTCTAAGAAGATAAAAGTATACACAGACACACATGCACATAGTATATATAAATATATTTTCTATTTGGCTAATGCTACTGAAAGATAGAAATCAAGTAGACACCACTACCTCAATGATCTTCCCTTGCTTCTGTGTCCTGTGCCGCAAGGCTGCTCTCCTCCTGCATTGTGATGACACTGCCCTGCCTCTCCACCTCATCTAACCAGAGAAGGCATTGCATGCTTTCAGAAAATGCAAATCATTCTCTGAATGGTGCCCAGGCCAAAAGGCTGACCACCTGTATTCAGAAGTCATCAGGCCAGCAACTCAGCAAGGTGCATGAAGCAAGTGAAAATAGTAGCAATGTCTACTTCAGTGATATCCAGTTTCCATGGGTATCAGCCATGTGTTAGATTGGTCCAAGTTGGACCAACATAACTATGTATAGCATACAGTTGCCCAGGGAAGGACTGACCATTCAAGCACTCGGGCACTGTCTGTCCGAGGGCCCGGGGTCAGTAGGGGGCCCCATGAGATGCCCTGGTACCTTTCATAGGCTTTTTTGGGTGTGGTTTGAGTGTGGGCGAGGACACAGGGGCCCCATGAGTTGTTAGTCCACCCCTGCCATTGCCTGGAATTCTTCTTGAAATGTCTGGCTTGGCAAAGTAGCAGCCCCTAAAAATGTGTTGTGGCTCGCCCACATCTGACATCACCTTCCAGTTTTGACAGTTGGCCGTCCCTGCTTGTGGCCATAGACACCACTGGTCTGCCTGCCTTCCCAACTCCTTCCAGCGTTGCATATACCACCACTGCTGTATTATAGACCACAGTCTGCATTGATGCCAGTGGTTTGCTGCCTGTTCCTAGCTCCATCCCAAGCTGGATAGAGCTTTTTACATGCAAGTGTGCTTTTTTCAATAAATGGTACAATTTTGATATTACTAACCCCAGCAACCCGCTTGTGTTCTTTTTTCTACCATGTGAGTGGATCCTTCCCAGACTGGTCACAAGAGCTGCATTTATTTTTGGAATCCCATCCCTTACTGGAATTGTCATTAGAAAGCTTTACACATATACTTATATACTGTATTTAATATACTGTGTAAGTATTGTATGCACGCCTATATATATCAGCAGGGTGGTTTGTCTGGCAGGACAACATGCATGACAATGGTGGCTGAGCACAATTACAAATCCCTTTGGCCGGTATAGTAAAAAAAAAAAAAATAAAAAAGGGTTTGCAAATTTATCTCTGTATTTAAAGTGCAATTAAACCTCAAAAAATTATTTAAAAAGTGGGCTCCAGGAACTTTTAGCCGTAATATAATAGTATTTGCAGCATAGTAACACAATATGGCAAACTCATCTTGCAAGCAATCTCCTCCTGTGCTGCAGCATCAAACGAGCTCCTGTCCGTGGTGGGTGCTTCCATTTTCTCTGGGTCTTCCTTCTGGGCAGAATTTGGGTCATTAGAATGCATTAATGTGGGAACACTAGTTAACGTGTCTTGCATTAACGTGTTTTTTTTTTTTCCGCTTTTGAGAGTTTTTAAGCTCAAAAAGCTTCTCTCCTGAATGCAGGGATTCTTTTTTTTCTGCCTGTAAACCCCCCTGCCACTAAACTCCTGAAAGCACCTATAGTGTGCATGGACACATAGGCTAACATGGAGGGGAGCTAACGGGCAGAGAAAAATAAAGGATCAAAACAGCTCAAACCTCTGTAGGAGCAGTTTCTTTGAGCTGCAGTGTGTTTGAGGCCTAATGGTTTTTCTGGAAGCTCTGCAGAAAAAGTTGCTATGTGACAGAGCCATCTTGTGGTTATAAAGAAGCATACAGTTGTGACCAAAATTATTCAACCCCCAATGCTGTAAAGGGGTTTAGGGACTATAGTGTACATTTGGAATTGTATTCAGAATCAAATCCTACAAGGACGTTGTAACTACCCAAATGCAACTAAAATGACATCAATTGTTTATGTAATACAGTAGTAAATGGTTCTTATGTGGTTTCTTCATTGCCACAATTATTCAACCCCTTAAAGACTACCACTCTGAAGAACAGAGGTTCATACAGGTGCTTTCCATCAGGTATTGAAAACACCTGTGGATGTCACCGAGCAGCAATCAAGCATAATAAGCACCAATTAGGCAGCTTTAAAATGACTGTGATACTCAGCTCCTTCTAGACATTTACTGGTGTGGTTACAAACATGGTGAAGGCAAAGAATGGTCCAGGAAGACAAGAGAAGAGGTGATTTCTCTTCACAGGAAGGGCAATGGCTATAAGAAGATTGCAAAGATGTTAAACATACCAAGAGACACCTTAGGAAGCATCATTCGCAAATTCAAGGCAAAGGGCACTGTTGAAACGCTACCTGGTCGTGGCAGAAAGAAGATGCTGACTTCGACTGCTGTGCGCTACCTGAAGCGTAGAGTGGAGAGAAGTCCCCGTGTGACTGCTGAGGAACTGAGAAAAGATTTGTCAGATGTGGGTACAGAAGTTTCAGCCCAGACAATAAGACGCACACTGCGTAATGAAGGCCTCCGTGCCAGAACTCCCAGGCGTACCCCCTTGCTGTCTCCAAAGAATAAGAAGAGTCGACTGCAGTATGCCAAAAGCCATGTGGACAAACCACAAAAGTTGTGGGATAGTGTTCTGTGGACTGATGAAACAAAATTAGAACTGTTTGGGCCCATGGATCAACGCTATGTTTGGAGGAGGAAGAACAAGGCCTATGATGAAAAGAACACCTTGCCTACTGTGAAGCATGGTGGAGGGTCAATCATGCTTTGGGGCTGTTTTGCTTCTGCAGGTACAGGGAAGCTTCAGCGTGTGCAAGGTACCATGAATTCTCTTCAGTACCAGGAGATATTGGATGGAAACGTGATGCAGTCCGTCACACACCTGAGGCTTGGGAGACGTTGGACCTTTCAACAGGACAATGATCCCAAGCATACCTCCAAGTCCACTAGAGCATGGTTGCAGAGGAAAGGCTGGAACATTTTGGAGTGGCCATCGCAGTCACCAGACTTAAATCCGATTGAGAACCTCTGGTGGGACTTAAAGAAAGCAGTTGCAGTGCGCAAGCCTAAGAATGTGACTGAACTGGAGGCCTTTGCCCATGAAGAATGGGCGAAGATACCCGTAGATCGCTGCAAGACACTTGTGTCAAGCTATGCTTCACGTTTCAAAAAGCTGTTTATAACTGTAAAAGGATGCTGTACTAAGTACTAAGATTGAATGTCACTTGGGGTTGAATAAAACTGATAATGCTGTGAGCACAGAAAAGACATTTGTGGTTATTTCATTATAACTGTTATGTTATATTTGTCTGACCTACAAGTGCCTCTTTAATGTAAATGTAAGCAAGATGACTGAATGATCAAAAGCAATGTCAAACTGGCCAAAACACTCAATTTCAGTGGGGGTTGAATAATTTTGGTCACAACTGTAGCTTATTGAACCGTATCTGGGCCCAATTTTTTTTTTTTTTATTGTGGTGTAACTGAACACCATATAGTGGGGGCTAAAAGATTTTTTTTTTCAGTGTGGCTTCTGCTGTTTGCCAAGATGTGTTTCATCAGATCCCTTACAAACAAGCTGTTTATTGTTAGTTGATCGGCACATATCACAGTACCAGTAAAACTACAAAACTGGTAAGACACTAATAAAAGCATGCTGACAATGGCCCTGCATAAAGTAGGTCTGTACCACAGCTGAATGACATTTTGTTTGCATGTGTGCACTATAAAGAAAAAAAGGAGAGGAAGGCTTGTTTTCAATGGTTTTCCATCCTTTGTTGCAAATCAATGTTGCAGATTTCCTTTGGCCTCTTTGCAGTCTTTGTAGCTGCCCCCCCCCCCCCCCCACCTCAAAGACTGAGAGTTGAGCAATGAAAGACCACAGATCCCTCAGTTCTCGATCTTAAGTGACCAGAGAGTTTGTGACTGACAGTCACCGGCTCTCTGCTCTGCCCCTCCAGCGCTCACTTCACCACCGGGCTATGGAGGGGGTGACAGCAGCTGGCTCAGGCTCCCAGTAGTGCACTGAGAGGTTGACCCAGTTCTGGTCCAGGTATCCGAGTGGCTCCTAACATTAAAGTTGGGATCCTTAAAGAGTATGGAGTGGCTACGTGACATCAGCTGACAGAGGAGTTTAGCCCACTGTCAGCTAAATCTGGGTCACAGGAGTGCAGAACTAAGTGAACTCCTGTAACCCACAGAAGGAGGGCCAAAAGAGCTTTAACTACTACAGAAATTCACTCTAGTAGTCAGTGCTACTCTCTTCCGGGTGCTGCTTATTGAACAACTTGTCGTCTGCATACTGGACACGGGGTTGCTTACTCCCAAACCTCCACCATTTGGCAAACATGTTGCATTGTTTAAAATGAATACAGTGCATTCTCTAATTGAATTTGATATCGTACCCCTCTCTTCTCCACCTTGTCCAATTACAGAACGCCTTGTGTTTATTGAAAAAAAAATACAAGATATTCTCTAAGTGGAGGAAGTACTAAGTGAGTGAATTCCTATGTTCAGTATACAGACTACAATTAGCAGCACCTGAAACAGGACAGGACTGACTGTATGCAGCACAGACTACTCAGTAAATTTTTGTTTCCCCAGCCTCCCACCTAATGTGATACCATAGATAACTACATATAACCAAGCTGGCCTGATGTAAGTGTAAAGCCTACATTTACGGTTATTTTATTTTTTAACAAATCAGCAAAAATAATGTTACTTACAATTAATGTGTCCTTTGTGCTGGTGTGTAACAAAAGTGAAAATCTGAAAACCTCTGCTCCCTTCCCGTATCCTGCAGTGCTGCGGGGGCTAATACCAGTGCTGGCTGTGACTGTCACTCATCAAGATTAAATGAAAAATGGTTTCTGAATGGAGGATGAGCGAATTAATAAAAGGTCTGCCTCCCTCCATTCATA